ATACAATTCAAACTTAGTGTCTTCTAAATTAATTCTAGTTTACGCCACATTCATTGTGGAAATATTCACTTTCAAATTTATCTAAACAAACCCCGTTCTCAAACACGATCATATGGGGTTTTTTGTTTACACACCAGCGCCGGGTCTGTATTTTATTTGTTACATCCAGCATTAGCTTCATTGCATTTTTTAAAAGATTTCATTAACGATTTGTTGATATTAAGTATTTTAATCTTATTTGTTGGCGTCTGTTTAAATAAAATAAGAATATTTTATGGAATGATAAGAAGCAGAAAAATATGAAACGATTGGAATGATGATGAATGAATTTAACGTCATTTGTTAGAAAATTTCAAAAGCAGAATAGAAGGAATATTTATGAATATACTGCAACAAGAAAGAAAGAAATAAAGAGAGAAAGAGGACGACAGAAAGAAAGAAAGAAAAAATAAAAAAGAAAGAAGAAAAAATAAAACCCAAAGAGAGAAAGAAAGAAAGAAAGACGCCGACAGAAAGGATGAAGTAAAAATGTAAGATGTAAAAAAGAAAGAAAGAATGACGCCGACAAGAAGTAAATAAATAATTAAGACCTAAAGAAAAAAGAAAAAAAAGAAAGAAAGAAGTAAAAATGTAAGAACTAAAGAAAGAAAGAAAAAAGAAAGAAAGAAGTAAAAATGTAAGAACTAAAGAAAGAAAGAAAAAAGAAAGAAAGAAGTAAAAATGTAAGAACTAAAGAAAGAAAGAAAAAAGAAAGAAAGAAAGGAAGACAGAAAAGAAGAATAAAAGAAGACACGAAGACAAAAAGAAACATATGAAGAAACAAAGAAACATAAAAAAAACAAAAAAAAAAAGCGGAAGACAGAAAGGAAGAAGTAAAAAAAGTAAGACACAAAAAAGAAAGAAAAATAAGATCAAAATAAAGAATGAAAGAAAGAAACCAAGAAAGTAAAAAAGAAATATAGAAAGACGCTGACAGAAAGGAATATAAATTATAAAGGTAAGACTGAAAAAAAGAAAAGAAAACAGAAAGAAAGAACATAGATAATAAAAGCAAAGACGTCGACAGAAAGGAAAATGTAAAAAGTACGACCAAAAAGAAGAAATAAAGAAAGAAGGAAAGAAAAAATGAAAGCAAGACGACGTCAGAAAGGAAGAAGTAAAAACGTAAGACCCAAGGAAAGAAAGTAAGAAAGAAAGTAGGAAAGAAAGAAAAAAATAAGACATAAAACTAAACAAAGAAATTAATTGACAATTGATATATATATATATAAAAACAAAGAAAGAAAGAAGAAAAAAAGAAAGAACAGAGAAAAAAGAAAAGAATTGTAAAAAGTAAACACAAAGAAAGAAAAAGAAATAAAAGAAAGAAAGAACGGAAAGAAAAAAAAAAAAAAACAAAAACAAGAAAGAAAGAAAGGCGTTGATGGAAATGAAGAGGTATAAAAGAAAGCAGTAAAGAAAAAAGGAAAATATAAGACACGAAAAAGAAAGAAAGAGGTAAAGAAAGAAAGACGCCGAGAGAAATGAAGAAAGAAAAGTTAAGGCTTAAAAGAAATAAAAAAGAAAGAAAGAAAGGCACTGACAGAAAGGAAGAAAGAAAAAGAAAAATTTAAGAAAGAAAAAAGAAAGAAAGAAAGAAAGAATGAAAGAAAGAAAGAAAGAAAGAAAGAAAGAAAGAAAGAAAAGAAAAAGAAAGAAAGAAAGAAAGAAAGAATGAAAGAAAGAAAGAAAGAAAGAAAGAATGAAAGAAAGAAAGAAAGAATGAAAGAATGAAAGAAAGAAAGAAAGAAAGAAAGAAAGAAAGAAAGAAAGAAAGAAAGAAAGAAAGAAAGAATGAAAGAAAGAAAGAAAGAATGAAAGAAAGAATGAAAGAAAGAAAGAATGAAAGAAAGAATGAAAGAAAGAAAGAATGAAAGAAAGAAAGAGAGAAAGAATGAAAGAAAGAAAGAAAGAAAGAAAGAAAGAAAGAAAGAAAGAAAGAAAGAAAGAAAGAAAGAATGAAAGAATGAAAGAAAGAAAGAAAGAATGAAAGAAAGAAAGAAAGAAAGAAAGAAAGAAAGAATGAATGAAAGAAAGAAAGAAAGAAGGAAAGAAAGAAAGAAAGAAAAGATGCAAAAAGAATGTAACACAGATGCTGGCAGAAAGGAGAAGTAAAAAGTAAAGCCCATAAAGGAAAGCAAGGAAGAATGAAATAAAAGAAAGAAAGAACGAAAGAAAGAAAAAAAAAATAAAGAAAGAAAGAATGAAAGAAAGAATGAAAGAAAGAAAGAAAGAAAGAAAGAAAGAAAGAAAGAATGAAAGAAAGAATGAAAAGAATGAAAGAAAGAAAAGAAAGAATGAAAAGAAAGAAAAAGAAAGAAAAATGAAAGAAAGAAAGAAAAGAAAGAAAGAAAGAATGAAAGAAAATGAAGAAAGAAAGAAAGAAAGAATGAATGAGAAAGAAAGAAAAGAAAGAAAAGAAAGAATGAAAATGAAAGAAAAGAATGAAAGAAAAGAAAGAAAGAAAGAAATGAAAGAAAGAATGAAAAGAAAGAAAAGAATGAAAGAATGAAAGAAAAGAAAGAATGAATGAAAGAAAGAAAGAAAAAGAAAGAAAGAAAGAAAAGAAAGAATGAAAGAATGAAAAGAATGAAAGAAAGAAAGAAAGAAAGAAAGAAAGAAAAAGAAAATGAATGAAAGAAAGAAAAAGGAAAGAAGAAAGAAAGAAAAGAAATTTGAATGTAACACAATGCTGGCAGAAAGAAAGAAAAGAAAGATAAAAAGGAAAGAAAGGAAGAATGAAATAAAAGAAAAAGAAAGAACGAAAGAAAGAAAAAAAAAAAAGAAAGAAAAGAATGAATGAAAGAAAGAAAGAAAGAAAGAAAAAGAAAGAAAGAAAGAAAGAAAAGATGAAAAAAGAAAAGTAAACAAGAAAAGCAGAAAGAGAATGAAGAAAAAAGAAAAAGAAGAAAAAGAAAGAAAGAAGGAAGAAAAGAAATAAAAGAAGAATGAAAAGAAAGAAGAAAAGAAAAAGAAAAAAATAAAGAAAGAATGAAAGAATGAAAAGAAAGAATAAAAAAAAGAAGGAAAGAAAGAATGAATGGAATGAAAGAAAGAAAGAAAGAAAAGAAGACGCAGAAAAGAAAGGAAGATGAAAAAAATAAGAAAGAATGAAAGAAAGAATGAAAAAAAAAGAAAAAAGAAAAAGAGAAAGAAAGAAAAGAATGAATGAAAAGAAGAAAGAAAGAAAAAAGAATGAAAGAATGAAAAAGAATGAAAAAAAGAATGAAAGAAAAAAAGAAGAAAGAATGAATGAATGAAAGAAAAGAAAGACAGAAGGAAATAAAGAAAGAAAATATGCAAAAAGAATGTAACACAGATGCTGGCAGAAAGGAAAGAAAATTAAAGCCCATAAGGAAAGCAAGGAAGATGAAATAAAGAAAGAAAAGACAAAGAAAAAAAAAATAAATAAAGAATGAATGAAAGAACCAAGGAAGGAAGGAAGGAAGGAAGGAAGGAACGAAATAAATAAAAAGGCTCTACAGAAAAAAGATGTAAAAAATAAGACCCAAAAAAAGAAGTCGAAAAACAGAAAAAACGGAAGAATGAAAAAAGAAGAAGGAACAAATAAGACCCAATGAAAAAAAAAAAAAGAAAAGACAGAGGTAAAAACTAAAAAAAATAAAGAATGGAAATATCTTATAAGACTATTTCGGAAAAAAAAAGATCTGAGGCGCTAAAAAGACAAGGAAAAAAAAAAAAAAGAAAAGACACAAGGAAAAAGAAAAGTAAGGCTCTAAGAAAAAACAAAAGAAAAAAAAAAAAGGAAGAAAAATGAAAAAAAGACTCCGAAAGAATGGAAGAAGGAAAAAAATAAAGAAGGAAAAAAGACAGGAAAAAAAAAGATGAAGAAAAGAAAGAAAAGAAAGAAAACACAGGAAAAAAGAAAAAAAAAAAAGAAAAAAAAAGAAAAAACTCCCGACAGAAAGGAAGAAGGAAAAATAGACTAAAAAAAGAAAGAAAAAGAAAGAAAGAAAAGAAAAAAAATAAAGGAAAGCAAGAAAGAGAGAAAAAGTAAAACCCATAAAAAGCAAAGAAAAAAGGAAGGAAAAAAAAAAAGGAAGAAATAAAAAGAAATAAAAGGCAGAAAGGAAGATGTAAAAAATGTAAGAACCAAAAAGAAAGAATGAAAGGAACGAAGAAAGAAAGAAAGAAAGAAAGGAAGAAGAAAAGAAAGAAAAAAGGAAGAATTAAAAAGTAAGCCACAAAGAAATAAAGAAATTAAGTAAGAAAGACGTTGACAGACAGGAAAAAGTAAAAAAGGAATATATTGGAATTTCTAAAGGGAACTAACAAGAAAAAAAAAAGAAAAGTGCCTTTAAAATTAAATGAAAGAAAGAAAGTAAGCCATCAATGGAATGGAAGAAATAAAATGAAAGAAAGAAAAAAAGAAATTTTATCGACAGGAAAAAAAAAGGTAAGAAGTTCTATGGCAAATGAAGAAGGGAGAAAGGAAAAAACAGAAAACAAAGATATAAACAAAATCTTTCATAAAGAGGTAGGTTCAAGAAATAAAGTAAAAACAAACAAAATACGCTCTCCAAAGACAGAAAGAAAGAAAGAGGGAAAGAGAGAAAGAGAGAGAGAGAGAGATAGATAGATAGGCAGGTCACCCTAAACAAGAAGCAAAATTATATATAAAAAAAATGGAAGAAAGCAAAGAAAATAAAAATAACGTTAAAAAAGACAAAAAGAAAAGGGAGAAAATCATTAGCCAACGAAGAAAATGACAGATCAAGAAAACTAAAAACATAAAATAAAATTGACCCGATTCACAGAAGACAGAGAGAGAGAGAGAGAGAGAGAGAGAGAGAGAGAGAGAGAGAGAGAGAGAGAGTCTGTTCGTCCGTGTAAGAAACAAGAATCGGTTGTTTACTAAATGAAGATGGCTGACAAAAGTGAAACAGAGAATGAATAAAGAAACCTTTTTTCTTTTTTAGTAAAAAGCAAAACATATCCAT